TGATGACTAGTCCTATGCTCCAGTATGGATGTGTCCTCAAAAATACACGTTGGTATTTAATTGGAACTGGACCTTTAGAAACTAGATCTTCAAGAGCCCACATGAAGGGAGTTATTGCCTATATTGCAAATGGGGGTTGATAAAAGGCTTTAAACTTGTTCCCATTCTCTGTAGGGCATCTAGTAAGATAGAATTCCAAGACTCCTGGCAAACAGTGGTGTACCACAGTACCTTGGAGACTGCCATTAGAGTTTAGACTGTACTTCTTTTTATAAGTTTGCTTTATCATTATTTTTCCAGTTATGGAGACTTTGTACTTGGATTTACTTATCCCTCAAGTGAGATCAGAGACTAGCCCAATTCAGTTCCTACCACATATAAGCTGAGATAGGTCCTAATTTGTTTTCCTTCATTGTATTCTAAGGTGTAACTTCTCTTTTTCCCTTTGGAAGTTTGGTCCCAGCGGCAATTCACAATCCTGAAAATCAACCAAGAAACTGTCAGTCAGGGTTGAAGAAAATGTTATATCTTTGCACCCTTCTCTGCATCTGTTCTTTAAAATAGCCTGGATTAGAACTCAGATGAGAATTTTAGGAGGGGCCCACCACGCCCAATTTTTCTCTACTACTTGAATCTCAGTTAACCTTCAATTTATTTGTCTTAAATCCAAGCCTTCAGAGCCTTAACCTAATCCCATTCTGCTTCTTAGAATCCAGTTTCTGAGCTTTGACGCCATCTGAGCTCACTTCCAGAAAAGACATAGTATAAATCATAAGGAGGCAAGTCCTCAGTGGACGATCTCTGAGATTAGCCAGTCTCCCAGCCTTGGGAGATGAGCTATGAGCAGCCAAGAGCAGCAAAATCTCCCAGCTGACCCTAGACTTACGAACTAAACAAATCATTGTTATTTAATCCACCAACCCTTAATGGTGGCTTGTTTGAAGGTGTATTGTAACAGTAGATAACTGATGAATATTTTCTAGAACCTTGCCGTCTACAACCCTGACAGAGCAATCGTTTAATTCAATTAAGGAACAGAGCTCCCAGCCTAGGGAAAGTTCAGTGTATTTCTTTCCTCTTCAGAGGAATGATACAGCATTACACCCGGGTCTTACAGAACAAAAGCAACAATAGTGTAGTTCCTGTGATAAAGAGGACTTTACCTAAAGCAGTGAAGCTACACAACTTAGGAATTCCAGTGTACACAGAGGTGATGCTGAAGATGGGACCCATTGACAGTCAAGTGTTAACTGTGCAGTGCTGTGTGTGACCTGTGGTATCTGCTGCTTTGTGGAAATTGGTATCAAAGCTTAGCTGGAATCATAAAATTCTCCTACCTTGTGTTGTGTCCAGACACTGTAAGTTTTCATGTTATTTTCACATAGAGATCAAACTTTGATAATAATTTCATGCAATATGAACAATATTTACCAGCTGCTTATTTCCTGTTAATATTTTTGTTATTATTGATCATTTGTCCTGTTTCAAAAATTAATTTATTTGTTAAAATTCAACTGTGCTGTTTTAAAATTGTGTGTATGTGTGTGTTTTGTGTGTATATGTGTGTGTGTACATATAATGCACATGTATGAGCTGGAGATACAAGGAGGCCCTTTACAAGAGCAATATGCCCTCTTAATTACTGACCCACTTAGTTTTATATTTATGTGTGTATGTGTGTGTGTGTGCATGCACATGCATGTGCTGGTGTGCTCACCTTCTCTTTTTGTTCATTTGTGTGGAGGCCATAAGAGTTTTACCAGTTGTCATATTCCATAATTTTCTACCTATTTCTACCCAGGCAGGGTCTTGAACCTGGGGCTTGCTTTTAGTTAAGCTGGAAGCCAGAAAACTTCAGTGATCTCACCCTCCAACACTCAGAGTTGAGATTATGAATATTTTGTCTTTTGGGTGTTGGGATCTGAACTCTGGTTTTCATGACTGCAGAGGAAATGTCTTAGCTGCTGAGTGAACTGTCTAACCTCTATTTGTTGGGGTTTGTTGTTGTTGTTTGTTTTTCTAGACAGGGCTTCTCTGGCTATCCTGGAACTCACCTTGTAGACCAGGTTGGCCTTGATCTCACAGAGATTCACAAGCCTCTGCCTCCCAAGAGCTAGAATTAAAGGTGTGCCCCAGCCCGCATGGTAATTTGTCATATTTTTAAGACAAGGCCTCGCCTAGGATGCCTTCAACTCTCAATCCTCCTGCCTCAACTATTTGACTGTTGGAACTAGAGGCCTGAGTCATCATTATAGGTTCCATATTGACACCGTTAATCAGCACTGTCAAATGTAGCTGTTACATGTATCTTAACTGTGCTTCAATTTAAATTAGCTGAAGATAAATGAAACACATTTTTAGTTTCTCAATCTAACAAGCCACAGTTATGTGTCAGTAGCCATGTGTGACTGGAGGCCACCTTCATGGACAGCAGAAAGTCAAATTTCTATTACTGCAGAAAGCTCTATTGACCAGCCCTTTTCTACAGTGTGTTCTAGTTTACAGACTCCATAAATGCAAATTTGATTATCTTCCTGGTTGTTTTAATGTATTCACAAGTTAGTGTTTTGGGTGACTGTTGAATTAATTTCATGACTGAAGAAGCCAGCTACAAGTCAATTCACTTTTATTGGATGATCCCAAGCTGCCAGCTTTTGGTCAGCTTTGCAAGTCTTGGTCAGTGACGTCTACCTCCTCAAAGCAGAGTCATGCTTGACAATCTGTCAGCCAATCCCTTTATCCCATTCAGGATCTCACTCAGGATCAACTCAGAAGTGAATCTCACTCTCCATATTTCCACAGCTGTCATAGCCCAGTGCGCATACTCTCAGCTACACTCTCAGGGGGCTTCATTAGGCATGTTCTTCAACATTTCCTCCCTGCTTGTCCACTCCCTGACTCCAACAGCACTGACCTCATTGTCCTTCTACCAGGCCAGTGTATGTGTGTTCTTCCCTCTTCCAGGGAAGCTCCTGCTAACGTTAGGATACTGGCACTCAACGCCTTATGTCTGTAGTTATCTTCCCAGCAAGGTTTTCTCCACTCATCCTTTCTAAATTGCAATCCTTCAATTCCATTGGCTCTTACCATCTCCGTGGCTCTTACTACCAGGTAACAATGAGCATGCCCCAACCCCTGCTGCTGTTGCTTTCCTCCTCTTCCTTTTATACTTTTGTTCCTCTTCCTTCTCTTCTTTTCAGCCTATTTCCTTAAATCGAGTTATAGCCCTTTGCAATTGTAGTAGGTGTTGATTAAATATTTATTGCATGAAAGAAATATATTTCATATAAAAATAATGGTTCTCAAGAAAAGCATTTCTGTACTATAAGAAAATGCAAGTCAAATGATTATTTATTTAAGAATTATGTAAGCATTCAGAGATGCAGGACCTGTCTTCGTGGATATTACAGTTTAAGTAAGAAAGTGTTTTATAGAAAACAGAACAATGAAAGTAACATTGCATTAAAAACCAAGGAAAACGGTCAAGGCATTGTGCTAGGTTGATGAAGAGGCACAATTCCAATTTCATTATTTCTGGTTATTACAGAAAAATAGAGAAATCCTGCCACTGCTCATTCTAAACACCTTGGTTTTGTAAATAAGGAGACGGATTGAGAAGACTGATTTGACTTTTGAAATTCTTACCCTCTAAGAGTCTATTTCAGAGAGAGGAAAAGTCAAAATGTGTGTGTGGCAAACAGGTTTGCTATGTAGTACGTACCCAGCCCTTCCTCCTGCCTCGCAGACAGTCTGTATTTCTTAATCTCCCTGTTAGCCATATTGCAGATGTCCTAAAAACCTAGATGGGAAACAGATCTATACCAAGCAATTCTCTCAGAGAACTCTGTTAAATAACACCAAGCTAGACATATCATACTCTATTTACACATATTGACATTATAAACTTTTCTTACGGAAAATCTAAGTATTATTGAAAATAGAATATTCTATACAACAAACATTGTTCTTACCCTATCTTGCAAAAATTCATTGTCTTGGTTTATTTATCTGTTTCCCTTTGATATGTCCTAAGAGAATACATGCTTAAAGGTCAGAAGTTATAGATTATACTCTTTTCTTTCCAATTGCTTCTATACACAGGGTCTATACATTCAAGTGAAATGAATAATAAATTTCTAGGATGTTCTAAGTACCTAAATCCAGGAAACCCACATCTTTGTCATGCAATAAAAAATGAGACCATTAATAGAGACCAATACAATCACTGTGGGCAAATCTTCATGCTATATACCATCTTAGTGTGATCAAATGGTTTGGAATGGTATTATGATACACCAAAGACAATTTATTTACTTTTGCATCATTGATATTACTGGAAAATGACAAGAGGTAGCCATGTCCCCACTCAATAATGATAACTAAAATAATAAGTGTAAGTTAAGTAATTCCTTAGGAAAAAAAAAAACATCATTCTGTGCGGTCCACCTTGGAAAGATATGCTACCCTTCCTACTGGCTTGAACGAGCCATGTTCCAGCAGCCACTGTCCAGTTCGAAGCCATCCTCTGGCAGACAGGTAAGACTGCACTTTCTTGGCACCTGTATGCACAAATATGTTGACTGTATGGCCTAACATGACTTCCCCTGACCTGTGTATGAAAGCAGTCACAGAGAAAAGGACTATATCAGTGATGCTTATGTGTATCTGTGGCTACCATCACCTGAGTGTACAAAAACACCTTTCCCTCTAGTTCAAATATTGGATGTCTGACTGCTCTGTTTGCTGGTCATCTATTTTTACTTCCTCTTTTCCTCATAGCTGCACCAGAGACTAGTCTTCCTACCGTACAGGAACATAAATCCATGGTGGGAGGGCGACTACATATGTCTACATTATTTAAGCTATTTTATGACCTAAGTAAGCTTTCATTCCCCACTCCCGTTGGAACCCCAGCTCTGATACAGTTTATTCACATTCGGAACCTGTAATAGAAGTAGAAAAGTTGACCCACATTGAGCTGTTACTTTGCCAACAGTTACCTGTGCAGATTTTTTTAAAGTTGGGGTTTTCCAGGAGGTGTCCGGGTAGACGACACTGGAAGCGGTGTTGCCAGAACTCAGGGAACCAAGGATTCCTTGTGTTGGTATCTAGCCTCAGCTTCAGGAAGTAGTCATCAAACGACCTGACCTCTGGAGACTGCAGCTTTATCGTGATTCCTCCGTTGGCTTCCACCTCATAGCCTTCAATGACTTCATCTCTGTCTGCCCATCCATCACTGAAACAATTCAGGGGTTGGGGTAAGAAGAGAAGAAGACAATGTCTTACAAATGAATTCAGAAATATCTACAAGCAAAGTAAGTCAGAGAAGTTAAATCTACATTTTTTTCTTTTTCTTTCTTTCTTTCTTTTTTTCTGAGACAGGGTTTCTCTGTAGCTTTGAAGCCTGTCCTGGAACTAGCTCTTGTAGACCAGGCTGACCTCGAACTCACAGAGATCTACATGAATCTGCCTCCTGAGTGCTGAGATTAAAGGTGTGTGCCACCACTGCCCAGCGAAGTTAGTCTACTTTAAGCCACTGTCACTACCCCTTAGGAGTTCCCGTTCACTAGAGAGGAGAAAGTTGTGAACATGAAAGCTTCAGCTTGTGTCTTCGCACATAGAAAGTAATATCAACAGTGATGATAGTGTCAGTGACCACAGTCAAAGTTCACTGAGCCTTTGCTAGTCAGACTGTTCAGTTAATCACTCTCATGGAACAGATATAAAGCATTTTCAGAAATTACCTTAAGTTTTACTGAGTCTAGGCAATCAGGTTCACGTGTCTAGTTCTCATAATGCTAAATAATACAATCACCTTGTAATGATTGCCCACAGAAAGACAACAATGCCCAAAGTGTTCAGATTCTTCATACTAAGCACTCAACATGTGGGGGATCCTGCAGGTGGTCATGGCAGTGAAATAAACTGTGAAGGGGAGAGAATGAAAACTCGGTTCCCGTAGCCTTCGTCAACTGGGACCAAGACACTGGGGAGCCTGGTGCCAGGTGGTTTATTACCAACAAATTTAAACATAGTACAACTTGGAAAACAGTGTCCTGGCTGTAGTACAATCCCTGGTGGGCAAGGAAGTGTACTTACATTGAAACTTGACTCAGGGAATATGTCATCTCTTCCAACAAGATGGGTCTAGAGAAAGACTACCCGTATTAGCTCAAGGACCTAAAGAAGGGTCTGGTCTGGTCTTGACTATACAGATAGTATAGATGTCATTTGGGCTATACGCCACCTCAGGTCGGGATTGTGGATACTTGGGGCAGACCCTCTGGCTCTACAGATAATGTAAGGGTCATTTAGACTATTAAGTATCTCTGGTCCTGGTTGTGGAAGCTTGCAGGACCCCTGTCTGTAAGGATCATTTAGATTACTAGGTACTTCCAGTCCTGGTTGTATGAGCTTAATATAGCTTGGCCCAACAGAAAAACAAACACTGGTGTTATTAATCACCTCCAGTTCCCAGCTTTCTAGATGGAAGAACAGGTACATCTTTCCCATCAAAAAGACAATTCTGTGTCCATAGCATTCCCAGTCTCCCTGGAGACCTGTGAGTACAAAGACTTTCTCGCTGTGCTCCCAACAAATGTAGTTTCAACACTATACTCAAACCATTATAAGAGTTGTGTGCTATGAAATAACAGATGAATTTATCAATGTTTGCTCCTGGGATATTTTTCTAAAGAGAAGTTGGGACCTGCCCCCAGGAAGCTTAGTGGAGCTAAAGGGCATCTTAAGACCACCTTGGCCAGAGAAAGATTTATCTCTAGACACATAGATATAGCATAGCCTCCTGAAACTAGTGGAACATAATGCTATAGGTTATACTACAAAAGTATCTTGTTTGCTTTTCACAGAGCAGGGAGCTAGGCCGAGTACAAATGATGTGAGCTAACTGGCTCAGTTCCTCTCTAGTGCCCCCCACCCCAGTGAACCACTGTGAGTTAAAGTGTCAACGGGTCCAGAGGGATAGAGAGTAGTGCAGAAAATGTGTGCCTGAATTTAAGAGAATTTGAGACACAGCATAGATGAACCAGACCAGAGTTATATGGACATGCCTCCAACCGCGCTAAGAGAATTACTTCAGAGTCTTGTATACATTCCTCTCCGTCAGCTCCATTCACATCACATTCACCATGATGCTTAGCTACAACTTCAACTGAGAATAAGATACATTATTTCCTGCCTGCCTTAGCATCAACAATTCTGTTATGGACTTAAAGGTACTTTAAACACAAAATGTATTTAAATACAAGAACAGATATCTAACAAGACGTAGAAATCCTACGAGGTTAAAGAGGTGGTCAATATCACCATGAGGGAGAGCTTGGAAGTTAAACACAGTAGTGTGTGTGTGTGTGTGTGTGTGTGTGTGTGTGTGTGTGTGTGTGTGTTGAGAGTCAGCATTAGTCAGGTTAATAGTGGGGAGAGGTTTTAGTGGTCTCAGGTAGAGAGAGTCGTCAGCACAACTGAAGTAAGAGAAGTGTAGCCTAAGCTGGCATGGGCATAAAAGTTCCAGGCTGAGGACCAGGAGAGAGGCTCAAAATATTATTAACCTGTTACTCATAAGATCCCTCTTCCTTCCTCCAGCAGGTTAAGTGGCCAGAGTACAGGACCCGAGATGGATTGTTCTGTTCACCATCACTGAATATGAGAGGTAGTCAAACTGATTGAACAGATTGACATAATTACCTTTCTTTTTGATCAGTCTACTAAGAAAGCATAGCCTTTAAATACATATTTAATTAATTGCCTTCTGGAAAGAAGTGCAAATCATGATGAAAGGCAATGGGAATACTTTTAAATTCACACATTCAAATATATTCTGTTACATCTTAACCACATCTACAACAGCTGGATATTTGAACTATATTTCATGTCCTGTTCAAAAGCAGAACAAACCCAAACCGGCTAGACTCTCAAGGACTTCTGCCTAAAGTTAATATTTGAAATCAAAGAGAATTGCAGTGTAAAGAAAAAAAATGACATTTTTTTTACATAGAGGTTAGTCTAGACATGTTACTTTCCGAGATTTAATATTGTGAGAGCTTTATTTAGCTGACCATCTATTGAAGAAATGTATGTTATAATTTTAAATAGCATATGAATGAAAATTTATATCTTTGTTTTCTTCCTCCATTGTTATCCTTTCCCTTCTCTGAATCTTCCACCTCTTTCAATCCCTCATTTTTGTTTTATGCTCCATTTTTGTAAAAATAAAATATGATGTGTTAATCCAAAAAGCAGAAAAAGTTTGACGCCCATACCTTAGAAACAAAGCATTCTCTGTAAACATGAACCCATATGGAGTTTAGAAAGTTGGAGTCCTGTATCCTCTGATCACAAGATGATTGCTTTAACCCCCACTAAAGATGGCACCCATTCCAAAAGTTACAGCTGGTATTAAATTTAAGAGCAAGACAGGAATGTGGCAGCAAAACCATTTAGGCAGGATTACTTGGTGAATATTTACGTAAGTAGTGTGTGATCGGAATCTGTCTCCAATAATGTGAAGGAGCTTTTATTGTCGTTGACTTTTTTTTAAAGCAGGGTATCATTAAACAGCTTTGGCTGATCTGGAACTGACAATATAAACTAGGTTGGCCTTGAACTCATAAAGATCCACATGCCTCATCTGTGATTAAAGGTGTGTGCCACAATTCCCAGAATATATAAAGAATTGAAATAAAATAATCTACTTAGAAACATTGGTAAGGTAACTCTTCATTTTTTATGCTTTAATTGACTTATCTGTATATTCCTTGCCAAGCACACTTACAGAGAACGTTCAAAGTCATTTTCCTGTTTAGTTGTGTTAGGAATTTGGGTGACAACATTTTGGGGAATGGTTTCTATGAAGTATGTTTTCACAGGGAGCCAGCAGTGTGCCTCCTGGTGTGCACTGTACTTGACCTGAGGTGACTTCTCTCACCTGGTCACCACTCATGGGTTGGGAGTGCATCCAGCCTGCTGGGAGGTGACTCCACCTCAGACATTGCTGGATTCAGAGGCACATTTACAGCCTCTGGCAGCTCATGCTGTATCATCTGCTTCCCAGTTATGAGATCCTTTCTCTGCCTGGAACCAGGAAACAAAACTGCACATTGTGGAGGAAGAGGCCTATTGCCTAACAGAAAACTCAATGCCTTAAGGATTTCTCAAAAAGTCCAAGAACCCCCAGTTCTTATTCCTCTTTAGTTATTTTACGTGTATCTATGTTCGTATGTGTACCGTGTGTGTGTGTTTGTATGTGAGTGCTGGAGGTTGACATTAAGAGTCTACCCCAATTGTTTCCTAACTTATTTTTGAAGTGTGGTCTCTCACTGAAGCTAGGACTTGTAGTTTGGCTAGGCTGGCTGGCCAGTGAATTTCCTCAGTTCTGGGGAATACAGGCTCCTGCTGTTGAAACTGGCTTCTTTTACATTTGTGCTGGGGATCAAACTCAGGTCACCATGCCAACTTGGCAAGCACTTGGCTGACTGAGTCTTCTCCCCAGGCGCTTATACTCAATATCTTTATTCAGCAATTCTTCAAAAGGCTATCCTCTCCTCCCCAAACCATTTTCCTCTTCCCTATAAAACTTCGTGTTTGAAGCTTGAATAATCGTGAGATTCCTTCTACCAAACAAATTCTGACACTAATCACAGGAAAGTATTTTTTATTCAAACTCCATTAGTGACTTCACTAAGGTTCATAGATATTACTTTTGCAAGAAATAGCTAGCAAACTGGTAGAAATTATAAAATATATTAATGTTCCTTAAATAAAAAAATTATTTTAGGAAATATATTTATGTCCGATTTGGTCAGATATTCCAACACAAAGCACTGGAGAAAACAGAGCTACCAGGCGAGCAGTCTAGACTACATCTCCCTCCAGACTGTGCTTAACTGAATGGCAAAAGCTCCAAAGGTGAGAACAGAACCAACCAAAAGCCTTTGGAGGACTGGCACCATGCAATGCAGAATTTAGTTCCTAAAGTAGAAAGCTACATATTTCTGTGGGGTTTATTAAAATACTAAGGAAGGTCTTCTCTCAGTACTGAAGGAAACTTGCTCCTTAGGTTCAATCCTGCCTAACAGAGCGAGATAAAAAGGAAGCAAAGTTCTCTAACCTCCCTCTAGAGCTACCTTAAGAAGCATAGAAGTCCCTGTGCTCAAAGACTAACAATATTTAGGATCATGTAATAACTATCAGATACTTAACTTCATCTTCAGGATGATA